GTCTGGTCTTGAAGACCTAAAATGCCTTCATCATCCTGTTCTGATCAATTTTATACTATTGTGTTCTGTATGAATTCATTGTATGTGAAGACATGGATAACTATTTGGAAGAAAACAAGAGACAATATGATAAACAGTGAAGATCTCAGGTTGTCTTGTTTTGAAATGTGTCTCTTACATTGTTATCTTATGATCTGTTTGTTCTATTTGATTGTTTAATTTTACTCTCTTTAAAACTAAAATTTAAAGAACAAATTATAAAAAATAAACAAAATGTATAAAGTTTAAATAACAATGTAGTGTTACCTTTTCTTAGGTTCTAAAAATTTTCACTATAATTTAAACTTAGAAATTAACACTTTAAAACATTTATAGTTTTTAAAATTTTATCCATGTTGATCTATTTAAAAGACAATAAACTTTAAAAGATCAAAATTTTTACGCTAATAGAATTAAGTACATATTTAACATATTTATTATTTATTATAATAACTTATTCATTATTATTTTATTTTGCTGGAAAATGTAATAAAATTCATTTCCTGTATTCTGTTTTTGTATGTATAGTAAATAACTGACTTGTAAATAACTGCACTTTACTTTGGTTAAAGACCACATAGCTATAAACACAATTTGTGTTATTTTAATAAACTATTTATTATCAGAGGGCTGGGGATTTAGCTCAGTGGCATAAGCACCTGCCTTGCAAGCAGGAGGTCATGAGTTCAGTTCCCGGTACCGATAAAAAAGAAAAAGACAAAAAACAAAAAAACAAACAAACAAAAAAAACTATTTGCTATCGAATAGCACTTTTGCCTTTCTATTTATATCATACACTGACTTCTTTAATTAAAAAAAATTTTGGACTTACTTTTTCTATTTTCTCCTTATTCTGTTTTTTTTATTTTTTTAATGAAAAACAATATTATTTTAGCAATCCTTAAAGTTTTCCAACAGTTTATCAATCTTTTGTACATCTTTGTTTCTTTCTTGAATTTCCCTCTAAAATCAATTCTTTTTCTAATTGAAAGAGTGGTTCCTTCAATAAAGTCTGTGATTGTCAACCTCTAGTCACATATAATAGCTCTTTTGGTATAGGATTCACTCCACCCCAGCTTATTGGAGCTATGAATTCTCCAATGATGAGATTTCATTAAATTCTAAGTTCAAATTTACTATTCATAAGCATCTTAAATACTTTTTTTCTAGAATTTTCTCTCAGTAATGTTATATGTTTTTACAAAGTGAATATTAGGTAGTGTTTATTCTGTTTCCCATTTTGAAAATCAAAACATGTTATTAATTCTGGAGATACCTTTCATTATCTTTCATCATTGCCTGTCTTTCTATATTTTCTTTCCTCTAGAAGTATGAATTATATATAATATATTATATATAGTATGTATATATATGAATATCATAAGCTACATGTGTGCATATAGTATATATATATGTAATGTGAGATATATATGCATTCATATATGTATCATAAATTGTAGGTCAAATTTTTTTCTTATACTCTGTATTACTTATGACTGACACCATTATCTTCTAGACACCATTCTGATTCTTTTTTCATTAGGCATTTGATTTTTTTGCTGTTTTATTGTTGTTGTTATTGTTGTTGTTGTTTTGGTACTGGGAATCAATTTCAAGACCTTATGCTGGCCAAGCAGGCACTGTGCTACTGAGCTATATCCCTAGCCTACTTTGTTTGGTTTTCTGTTTTTATTTTAGTTTATTTGATTCTTTTGTTTTTGTTTTTCTCTAGTTTGTTCTTTACCTTGGTTATTCATATTTTTGAAAATATAAAATACACTTAGGGGACACTGGCTAGACTGTAGATGTTTAGCAACTTAACTCTATAAGAGTTGAACCCATAGTCTGAGGATGTACCCTTTAGTTTTCCTTCACATTTGTTCTTTTAAGTTTATTTTCTTCTTTCTCTAACCTATATTTTATTTTTTACACCCAAACTTAACGCATATTAAGAGAAAGCGGCCTAGAGAAATCCAGTAGCACCATGGAGTACAGTCTGAAAAATATGTTTATACTAATTAAAAATTTCCTTTCAGTAATTTCAATCTTTAAAATATGCAAAAAAAACATAAAGAATTATCAAAACACATAGATCTTAGTTCTATACACAAGGATTCTGGTTCAGTAAGCTCAAAGTCCTACCCAAGAATATGGAGTAACCAGGTAGGTATATGTATCTATGGATATCTTTAACTTCAGTGTATAATTTGACAGATTTAAGGGAAAAAAAAAGAGTTTGTTTGTATCTGTAATTTATATTTTTCTTCTGAAAGCATAGTAAAGAAAAAAAATCTACTTAATCAAAGATTATCTTTTTCATAATAAAAATGTATAAAGCTTCCCATTTAATTATTCATGATACTTTTTCTTCAAAGTTGCTCATTTATAAAATTTATATGAGTTCAACTTTTTTAACATGATGCAATAAGAAATCTGCACCACTGCAAAGATTCTGACATTATTTTAAAATTTTCCTGGAAACTTTCCCCCATTATTATTTTGTTTCAAGAATAACTAGAGAATTTCATAAGATTACCTAGGTATTATGTATAGAAAACGGAGTTCAGAAACAAGTGTTACTGTTGAAATGATAACCTTGATTTCTTCCACACATGTAAATTTCTAGTACATGAACCTAAAAACTCTAATCAGATACTGAGATTGCAGAGCTTTTTCAGTTATTTTCCTTTCACTGAGAAAACAGAAGGAGACAGTCTATATCTATCTTGCCAGCTTTTCCACAAAGCAGATGTATGGAGGGCAAGTAAGAGCAGACACACCTCTGCTTCCGTGGTTACTGCTTGCAATGTCCCCGCACCTCTGCTGGAAGCTACTCTTGAAAAATATTTGCATGTCCATGTTATGAGGCTGTGCTATGAACCTGACTATGCTACTGACTAGCATTTCATTTCCAGATGGTTCCTATTATCATCTAATTATCTCAACCCTGATTTTATTTCAAACAATTTACCATTGTCAGGGGTAACATCCCAGCACAACATTACTGAGATCAAATGTTTTTGGTTTTAGGTCTATGTTTACAAGTGTTCAGGAATAGCCTTCTTTAGAGTGATTGATAGACCATTCAGTAAAATTCATGAATAAAACTATGAATCAATATTAAAATTTTAATAAAACCATAAATATCTTGCAACAATTATGCATAGTCACAATTATTATTGGTTTTACATTTCTATCATATTAAGCAAGTTGGAAAGAATCAATGGAATCCATTCGTTCACACATTCTTTTGCTCATTTATTTTATGTTCTGAAACTTATTGAGGGCTTATTGTATGCAAAGATAACAGGTATACCCTCAAAAATAATTTATGTTACAGTAAAAGAGGAGAAAATTACAACTTGTTATCAAAATCTCCTGAAGATAACATGTAAAAGGTAATATGTATCATATGTCAAGTGTAGAAGGAAATTCTAGGGAATTTTATCTCCATTAAGCTACATTTTTTAGTCTTGATACTGATAAGAGACATGGATTTGAGACAAGGAAGCAAGTTTGAACTTGGAATCACTATTCTGATTATTTTCTTACATTTACATTTTATTCTATTATAAAGTAAAGCCTAATGCAATGAACATGGTTCCTTGCCTAATTATCTCTCTGTTGGGTTTAAAATGGCACAAATTATCTATACTATGCATTACATATGCATCATTTCTAGAAGGTTTTTTAAATAAAAAATTACAAAATCCTTAGAAAAATTTGATGTTGACACAAACTCCAGAATAAATAATCTATGTAATATCTAAATATATGGGATGGAGGAAGAGGAAATGAGTGTGCTTGTGTTTACATTTTTTTCCATAGAAGTTCTGAGCCCCATTGTTTGAGATTTGGAGAACTCTTCTTTGTATTTCATGATGTGAGTACAATTGTATTCCTAGACAATTTTGCTTAATATTTCTTGCTTAAAGGTTTTCCAAAGTATTCTCTTCTTTTACTACTTACTTAAAGAACATTATTCTTTCAGTTTTCAAAAAAAATTTTCCTGTGGAAAATGCCCCTCATATGTGACCATGTTTTTTTCACTGCATCTCTGAATATGCCAGCTGAGTGGCAGTGAACTCACCTCTGCTCTGGGGCTACTAATCCTTACATTTCCCCCTACTACCTCTGGCTACATGGACGTGAGGTTATGGAAGTGGGATAATATTGTGAAATGCCTTTTCACCTGGAAAAGTAATTTCTTGTCCATTCCATGACACATAATTTCATGACACTACCTGTGTAATATAATATCCATCTCTACTGATCTTGGCTCGAGAAAGCTATTAATTAATTCTGCCAGTTAAAACAATAGGTTATCATATGCAATTCTTTCCATAGGGTACTATTGGTAAAATTTTTATGATAACCTACTATTTTAAATGTTCATGCGATTTCTCTATAATTCAGACCCAAACCTCTCAACAGGATTGCAGAACCCTTGCACGTGACTGTCACAAAACCTCTAGAGGTCAGGACATGAGCCAAGTCATAGTATACTGATCTATGCCCTTTCATAATTAAATCAAGAGCAATATATTCTATTTATCTTAAGTTCTATAATAATATCACTTTGTCGAATAGTTCCTACATACATAAATTTACTTATTTAACCAATAAACATATTTTTATTTATAATAACCACCTAACCCTCACATAGTTTGAAATTATAAAATAATCAAAAGTTGTCCCTAACATAATTCTCTTGTATTTCTGCCCAACATTCTATGTTGGTTTATTTCAGAAAAATAATTCTTTCTGTTCCAAAGGTTAGTTTGTGGATTTTTATATAATAATTTTATCATCACTCAGCCAAGACTGGAAGCATAAGCTTATCTTTATTGTTCTTCCTAATGAGTCTGGATTTTTTTGGAAGATTTTTAATGGTATGAAAATTTTATTGGAAATTTCCTCTGGGTAAAGCACGGTGTCAGCAAACAGCAGTGACTACTCACGTTTGTCTTGTTCTGCTTCTATTCCTTCACTTTCTGTGTCACTTGGCAAGAGCCATGGTTGATGAATTACTTGAAGTTGCTTTAAGGATTCATCCTGCCAGGGAGCAAATTATTTTAGATTAAACTCTAGATTGATATCATAAATACCAATATGAGTGAAACAATTGTCTCTACAGATTGCATGTTCAAAACCTATAAGAAAAATTATTCCATGACACAGAAGAGCTTTAAGTTTATATTCATTTTCATGTCATAGACATAGAATTGTAAACTGATTTTTAACATTCTTTTTTTAGTAAGATACAGAATCTTTTTCTCGCTCTCTCTTTTTGACACAGGGTCTAGCTATGCAGTTCAGGCTGGTCTCAAGTTTACTTCATGGCCCAGGTTCGTGTCAAATTTGCAGCAGTCCTCCTGCCTCAGCCTTCCAACTACTGGGATTACAAGATTTAGAATCTTAATAAGATAAAAAAAAAAAAAAAAAAAAACTAAACTTTAAGGACATGCTGGAACTCATTCTTAAAATATCATAAAATATTTCATTCAAATATTCATTAGATTGCATGAAATGTACTCCTTTCCCATCAAAATTTAAATTTTCTTCAATGAGAATCAAGATCAGTTTTGTGCACTCTTTAATTTTCCCCACTGGTTATTCAACTTTATGACATTATCACTACTTTGCTAATAACCCTTTGGTGGCTCTCTCATTACTCCTAAAACAAAAATTTAACTGAAGGCCCTCAAGATCTATCCTTGATGGCTTGACCAACCACATTACTGTTTCTATTCTTCATCCATCTCTCTAGTTGTAATTAGAGAGCCGCTTTAACTGTAAACCAACCATATGTTTTACACTACATTTCCTGTCTCTCTCGAACGTGAACCTCCTCCAAAGCTCAGGTGTCATTTCAGCTGGAAGCCTTCCCTCACCCTTAAAGGCAGGGTTAATCCTCTGTTCCTTAACGTGCCTGCTGTACCAATAGAACAATTATTGCACTGCATTGCCCTCTTATATTTTCCTGCCTTCGTAATAACATGAAAGGTTTTTGAAGGCATGGGTAACCATTTCCTTCTCTGCATTTTCAAAGTCTATTATAGTGCCTGCCACAAAATAAGGGGAAGTCAGAGTAAATATTTTTGTAGGAGAAAATAACAAAGAAAAGAAAAGAGAGGAGGAAGAGAAAATAAGGAGACGGGAAAGATTCTAAATCTTGTCTCCTTTTGAACAAAATAAGTAACAATTTTAAATTTATTGAGTAGAATTCAAGCAAATCTTTTCAAATAAATTTGCAAGTTAAAAACAAAAATCTGTATGATCTGTTAGCAAACTCTTTGGACCTTTCAAACCCAGTCATTATTTTCTGTTTCAATGATCTTTTCCTCCAACCTGAGCTTTTCCTGTTTTTGTTCATGCAAATAATAGTTGTTAAAAAAAAAAAAAAAAACATAATCCATGAAATTTAAGAAACATACATTAGGAAACTGAATGTCTAATTTGCTTAAAACAGCTTCCAGAGGAGAGAGAATCTTATTTGCTAACCTTTGATTTTGATGGGAATTTCTGGGGAAGTTCAGTCCCAATCAAAAGTTTTTTTTAAAAAAGTATAGTTTTCCAGGAGTGTGAGAGTAGGAGGAAGGGGAAAGCACAGAGACTCTTTTAGGGTATTGAAACTATTCTGTATAATAGAAAGTCCAAAGCATTAAACATGTTGAAATCCATAGAATTTTATCCCACTGTGTAAATCTTAATATGTACAAAAAGATCAATTAGGAGACTGGGGAATCCCAGGATGAAAGGCGAAAGTATCACACACACACATACACACACTCACACAAAAGAATCGAAATACATTATAAAGATCTATGAAGCAATCCCCCCGAAGTGAGTGGAGAACCAAGTGCTGACCTAAGTGATTCTGAAACTAACTGGAGCCTGAAAGATCAAATGAAAAGAGTTGCATGCAAGATTCATGGAAATACAAATCCATACTTCTGAAACTACCATTCATACATTCTGAAATTAAGTCATGAAATGAATAAATGCCAGATGGTTTCTCACTTTTGCAGTCAGAATTAAAGACAAGCAAGGGGAAAAGGCTAAAATGATCCATGTGTATTCAAGCTGGAGACATCAAGATAAACCCTTGTTTAGCTTTCCACACGTATAAAAATATTTATAGATGTTGGTGGATGTTAGTATTAGAAACATTCATATCTCCATGTTCTTACAGCTGCAAGGACTTAGCAGCAATGATACTCAGCAACAAACATCCCTACCATGCAAATCTTGGTTGGTAATATTATTCTTTAATTAAAGTATCAGAGTTCTAGGACTCAATAATTTGAGGACAGAAATATTCACAATAAGTTAGGACATCTTATAAATCCAAAAACTAATAGTCTTCAAATACACATACACATATATAATGGTGGGCTATGTCCAAAGGATAAAGAAGCCAACTAAAGATATCAATAACCAAAGTTAGAACAATTTAAGCAAAACTATGTAAGAGACCATTGTGTTACTAAAGAAAATATAAAGCAAATACCCATAAATTATGATAAAAATAAATGATTTAATCAATAAATGAATAATAATTTGAATTATTAAATTCCCTTGGCTGTATATGACCAGATATCCTGGTGTTAAAGAGACAGAAAATAACATCCCATTCCTTAATTGGGAGCTGTGTATCATGAACTTCCAAGATTAATACAATGAATTATATAGATAATATATATCTTTGAAAGTACATGATGAAAGTGGAATTTTATCTTTAAATTCATTTTTAATTCACATTATTTAATCTAATTAAGAAGAAAATATCAAGCAAAGAAAAATCTACAAAATATGTAACCAGTACTCCTCAAAACAGTCATGGTCATAAAGCACAAGGATAGACTGGGAAAGAATGGAACCGAAAGAACCTATGGAAACAAACTACTAAATGTCACGTGGTGTCTTGGGTAGTATCCTAGAACAAAAAAATAGGACAGTAAGAAAAACTTGTGCACAGCTAGACAAAGAGTGGATTTTGTTATTGATAATTTATTAAAGGGCTTATGAATATGGGAAATAAAGATAATATCAGGTATTAATAATACTTCAAAATGTATGACATAGTAATTTTGTACTATCTTCATGACAATTTTTCAAATCCAAAACCGTCTTAATAAAAATGTTTTAAAAATTGAAAGATAAAACTTTGAAAGTAATCTTTGTTTTAAAAATAAGAACACAACATTTTTTATCAAGAACAACTCCTAAAAGTAGTCTATTATTTGGATTGAAACTTAAATTCCCATCAAATAAAAGATGGGATCCAAGAGAAATGTTCTTGCTTCAAGGTCAGGGGGAAAAACATTTTACCTGAGGAGACACAGTCATGTTACCCTCCCTTTTAGAATGGGTTGAAAGGGTTAAAGTACTACATTGGATGATACCTAGTATTTCACAAGTAGTCTTTGTCTAATTCTCACTTCTTTAAGTAGCTAAATGCACGGGCTACTGAGAGGGAACTTAAAAAAAATTAAAGATGTTAAATCTTTCATGTACCACATACATATAAATTATGTTAATTTTAAAAATTTAATGTAATTTAAATTTTTTTTGGTTATTAAATTTGGCCTTACAGTTTTTTATCAAAGAAGCAATGTAATTGTGAATATTCTTAGATTTAAAATTTTGTAACCATGTACCATGTGGTAAAAATAAAATTTCAAAAGTTTTCATATACATATATATATATATATATATATATATATATACACAACAAGATAAATAACTACATTACTAATCTCTGCTAGTTCATCAAAAAGAACAGTTTGTGCTTTCATTGTTCTACTGTTTAATGACATTTTTTGCCTGTATCTTATAATCTGCACAACTACATTGCAGATAACACACAATATATTAAGCAGTGTTAATCTATTTTTTTGAAATTTTGTATCATCATTTTTATTCTTTGTTTTTAAAATTAAAAAATTTTTCATATTAATAGGAAAAAATCACATTTGTACATTTTATCCAGAAATAGAATATGTAATCTTTGTTGCTTAAAGAAAAAAAAATTAAATGAGTTTTCTAAGTTAAAATCAAATGGCAAAAGCTACTCAGTTAACAGGAAAACTTAATATAAAAAGATTATAACTAAATTTTTTGTAGTTATTAAGTTTTTTGTCCCATACACTAAAATTCATCTGCATAAGAAAAGATATAACTACTTAGTCAAGTTTGTTATTTTTTTCCCACAATAGTATAAAATGTGGCAATATTACAATTGACTTCTGTTTTTATGGCTTTTTGTCTTCAACGTATATGCAGTCTTAATTATTCTTTGTTCGCTGCAAATTACAAAAACAACAAATGAAACATTAGCCTTGTGAAATATGTAGGTTGGGAAGAACTTTGAAATATTGAGTGATTAGAATCATAAGCAGAACAAATATTACTACTAAGAGAAGGTTTAAATTTTACTTTGGTTTCCCATAAAATAAAGTTGGTAATATAATACACCTGTTTACTTTATCAGGGCCACCAGGCAGCACTATAAATGTCCTAATCTTCCCATCAGCCTGATTATTTTTGATGGGATCGAGAAGCTAAAATCTTAAACATTTTTAAAAACAAGAGCTCACATATTCTTCTTTGCTAACTTTATTCAATAGTTTCTTCAGGAATATAAAACTATTTCTGAGTTTACTACAAATTTATGTCCCCAGGAGAATGTCCTCTGGGTTGCTTTTAAAAGAAATGCCATTCATTCTTTTTCTAAAATGTTTTCACTCTTAGTATAGCAAGTGTCCGGGGACCAGGAGTGGTGGGAAATGGTGACACAGATGTTATGGAAAACAGTTGCCGGTCCTGAGTCAACACAGAATTCTATCTGCTAACAGGATAAGTGCTTTATAAACTTCACAGTATTGTTATTCCATATGGAGAGCTTACTTAAGTATTCCTCAAATGCAATCAATCAGTAATTCGTGTCATATGTGGACATGCGAATTCTATATAATTAGAGGGGAAAAAAGGTCCTTTGTTCAAAATTTGAAGATTGGCCACTTCAGTTCTGAATTAACTAAGTACTTTTT